TGCTGTTGCAAATCTGTTATGCCTACCTGTGCCAAGCACGAATCCATGGGCCCGGCTCCCCCCCACCAACTAGTCTGAATTGAGAATTAGCATTAAAAAAAAAAATCTGCCAGCTAAAAAACCAAACTCTTGTATGTTATCATTTCAAGTACATACTTCCAGTATTTGTTCTTTGGTGAGTTAATTTCAATGCTCAGTCTAAAGGAGAAGTCAGGTCCCCACCCTGGGACTCTGTAGTGCTGCTATGACATAAGGGCTTTGTCCTGACCTGTTTGTCTTCACCTCACTGGAGATTTACCTCAGTACCTGAAATCAATTTCCATCGCCCCATAGCTTCCTGCACGTGGTCCTGAGCTCCTTCTCCCACGGGACTATGAGCTCCTAGGCTGAGCCTTGACGGTTCCATCACTGGTAGACTGGCTTCCAAACCCAGGGCTGGTAATAACCATCATCTCTGGGCATCACCATCAAGCATGGTTAGTGGGCATGGGGCCTGATGCTGTGGCAGATGAAGAAAGTGCATTAAACAGCTCCCTAGAACTCCAGAAACATTAGTAGAAGATAGATCATGCTGGCTTGGACACACCTGAAGAACCACAGGAAATAAAAACAGATCAGCACAAGGAAGCAATCAGTAACACGCTGATGTGCACACAGAAAACATAATGCTTGGTGCAGGGAACTCTGGGTGCCCCACTAACTGTTCACAAACCATTGCTTGGGTGCTCCGCCTGCCTGGCTTATCAGGCTCCTCTGTCCTTTTCAGTGGCTCCCACAATAGGGATATTTATAAATGTGGAAAGACTCAACTCAGGGAGTGACCTGAGCACAGACTCAGAAGTAGGGCAGTGACAGTGTCTTCTGTACATATTTTGATGGGGTGGGTAGAGACCCCTCTGGAGTGTAAATTCTACAAATTAACAGGACAACATGTCTGCTCCTGTTCACTGAAGTTTCCACATCGTCTAGCATGCGCCTGGCACATGATGGCTGCTCAGTTCATATTTGCTGCAAAAGCGAACACAAACTCACATAAAAATATTTTAGTAAGTCATAAAGAGGAGTATCCGTATTTTATTCGACGTGTAACTCCAGCACTCATCACAGGGCCTGCCACAAAATAAGTCTGGCAATTGCTTGTTGTGACTGGCTACATTTTCTTCCACAATGAACTTTCCAGGATTAGAACCTGGAGTCTCCCAGTGAAGGAGACTGCCCCCCACTATCAGCCTCCCTGCCTTGGCCAGGACTTTTGTAGCCACCATCCACAGTTCAGAGTCCCAAGTTTACGGTCCCGGGAATCAGCTTTACCCTTGTGGACCCCCACGTTTTCCTGTACTCTCAATCATTAACAGCCACATTCTCAAATCATAGATTTGACTGGAGAAAACAAATTGCCCTCTGCTACAAGATGTCATGCAAGGTTGAGACTGTGCCTGGATAGGAATTAAAGATACAGCATGCAGCGAAGGCATCTAGCCATGCCCAAATCTGCAGACGTCATGTTTTTATACACACAGTTCCTGATGAGACACTCCGTTGTGACCCATTCAGAGGAAGAGGGATGGATAATTCCCTAGCCTGCCCCCATGGAGCCACAGTCCTCTCCCGCATCATTCAGAATTCCTGGGGCCTGGCTAAAACAGCACTCTCCCTCATTCAGAGGCTAGCTAACAAGTTACCAGTTGTTCATTTTCTCCCAAGTTCCTTCAAGAGGCAGGGCAGTGGTTATGATGCGCTCCTCCTTGCGGAACCACAGTTGGAATCTACGTGCATTTTGCCAGATTAATTATTAGGCTAGAAAAGGTGGTTAGTAGAAACAGGTCAACCTGTACTATATTTCAGACAGAATATGAGCTATATATGGGTTTTTATGAGGTAAGGGGACAGCTGAACACCATTTGTTTACATTTAACTCTTTATACAATTTTTTTTTTAACATTTATTTATTCTTGGAAGTGAGAGAGAGAGGGGCGCCTGGGTGGCTCAGTCGGTTAAGCGTCCGACTTCGGCTCAGGTCATGATCTCACGGTCCGTGAATTCGAGCCCCGCGTCGGGCTCTGTGCTGACCGCTCAGAGCCTGGAGCCCATTTCAGATTCTGTGTCTCCCTCTCTCTCTGCCCCTTCCCTGTTCATACTCTGTCTCTCTCTGTCTCAAAAATAAAAAAATAAAACATTAAAAAAAAAAAAAGAAAAAGTGAGAGAGAGAGAGAGAGAGAGGGCAGAAAGAGAGAGAGAGAGGGAAACAGAGTCTGAAGCAGGCTCCAGGCTCTGAGCTGTCAGCACAGAGTGCAACGCAGGGCTCAAACTCGTGAACCACGAGATCATGACCTGAGCCGAAGTTGGACGCTTAACCGACTGAGCCACCCAGGCGCCCCTGTTTACATTTAATTCTTTACCACGAGGAGGAAAAATGTGCTCCAGGGATAAATGTGATTTGGGGACACACATTCTAAGGTACAGAATGACCCTGCCATTTCACATGCCTGCAGGGCGTGGAGCAAGCAGATGGACAGGGCACTGCAGTGATACGAAGGAGAGTCCACAAGCTGGCCCAAGCCTAGTGCCTGACTCTTGGAGGTCTGTCTGCACAAGGCCCATGCCCCGTTTGTAAACTCTCTTAGGTGGTTAAGACGCGGGTTGTTGATGGAGTTCCCCAGGCAGTGGGGCCACAATGCAGGACAAGATGAAAGCCGGGCATTCTGCTGCCAGGAGGAACATCTCTCAACCTGGACACGAAACTGCCCTGAAGCTTCCCACCCTCCTTCCTCATTTAACTCCCTCTTCCATTAAAAGCAAAAGCAAAACAAACAAAACACCTCTCCTTTCTGAGATCTCTGAGATCGGCCAACTTCTCCATCGGCCTTGCGGCTGGGGTCCTGCCCCAACAGTCCCTTGCCCTCAGTTGTCTGGGCTCCAGGTCTGCCCTCCTTCCCATGACACACCGTGTGTCCCCGTTCTCCCCAAGCTATCTCGTTTCTCTGCGGCTGCACCAGCAGCCTTGGTCACCCAAGGGCACGGCAGCACGCAGCCCATGTTCCCTCTCCCCGACTTTCGGGTCAAAGGCATCCGGCTGCACCCCCAGCAACAGTAGTGTCTGCAACGGAAGCCACGGGGTGGGTTCCCTTCCCATTCCTGGGATTCGGATCGGTGTTTTGTTTCTTTTTTTTTTTCCCCCAGTTTATTCATTTGTTTGTGTTTTGAAGGGAATGAAGTATGCTCTCCTTATAAATATGCTCTGTTTTCTTCAAATGCCCTCCTTCTTCTCCTAAAACCTTATTTCTGAAAGTGCTACAAGCCAGAGCATGAGAAAAGTTGCTTTGAAAACCAGCTCAGTGGGACTGAGCCTTGTCTAGTGTCCTTTCAAAGCATTCAGGGACATCAATTATCTCTTCGTTACAAGCCGAATGAAAATTTAAACTAGCAGATAACAACAAAACAATGTCTATTTACATTTGAACTCAGACAATGCTAATGTTCTAGAACCAGAACTGCAGTCAGGAAACCAAGCTCTAAAATTCTAGCTCACCGTCCTGTCCATGTTGATATAACTTCAAGAACATTTCCATTTTCAACTGAAACAGTCCCAACACTGTTGATTCTCAGGCAAAAAATCTTTATTAAAAAACTTAAAAAAAAAAAAAAGATATATACTGCTCTTTTAACTTTTGCTGAGCTAAACAAAAATTCTTTTTATGTCAACAAAGTAAATTAAGACCTAGAAATGACAAGGGCACCTGGGTGGCTCAGTAGGTTAAGCATCCAACTTCAGCTCAGGTCATAATCCCATCATCCGTGGGTTCGAGCCCCACATCGGGCTCTGTGATGACAGCTCAGAGCCTGGAGCCTGCTTCGGATTCTGCGTCTCCCTCTCTCTCTCTGCCCCTCCCCTGCTGTGCTGTCTCTCTCTCTCTCTCTCTCTCAAAAAATGAATAAACATGTAAAAATTTTTTTTAAAAAAAGACCTAGAAATGACAAAGGAAATAAGATCAAGACTTTTCATACTTAAATCATGATCAGAAACCTTAAAACCAGTCTTAGAAGTGGCATTATGATATGGGCAATGTAAAGATCTTCCAACATTATGATCCTAAAATAAAAATCTTTAGACTTTCATTGGTTAGAGATAGACCACAGAGAATTGCAAGAGAAGCTTAGCACTACCATTATTACTTGTCCTTTTTTATTTACGTTTATTTATTTTGAGAGAGACTGTCTGTGCACGCGTGCGAGTATGAGTGGGGGAGGGCAGAGAGAGAGGGAGAGGGAGAGAATCCCAAGCAGGCTCTGTTGCTGTCAGTTCAGAGCCCGACTTGGGGCTCGATCCACAAGATCATGACCTGAGCCAAGATCAAGAATCAAATGCTTAACCGATTGAGCCACCCAGGCACCTTGGTTGTCCTTTATCATCTTGCAAAGTATAGTAAAGAAATGTTCTAACCAGGTGGTAGAAAGAAGCTGCTGGTTTGCTTTAGTCAATATCAAGTTCATAGTTGCCTTTTATACGAAATACGCAATCAGTTACTTCCTTGATGCACAGTGGGTTTAACTCCCCCACAACCCTAGGAATAAATTCCTTAGAAAAGAAACTTCCCTTTTGGGGGAAAGACTAGTCCCCTTTAAATGCATACAACAGAAACCATTACCCAAACCACCCATCACCAATCAGTCCGAGGTCTCAGCCACAAAGAATCTCACTTCAGAGTGTACCTAAGCCCCGCCACGGGCACAGATGTGACCATGGAAAGCTGTCTTCTCTACTCTGACACCTTTGATCGTTGAGTCATAAGATTCCCCAGGGAAGAGGCTCATGAAATTACCAAATTACATAATTGTTCCCCTGAATTCACAAATGTTCTCTTGTGGTTTAAGATAAACGAGTGCTGATTCTCCAAATTAATAACCAACACTCCAGAAAATGAACTCTTCTGCTGGCTATCCAGCCTCCAGATTTTGGTCGTTAAGTTCAGAGATTAATCTTTAACAGACAGGACTCCTACCTTCTACTTTTTAGGTGTCTGAACGTTTGCATCCACACGATCACAACAGGATCATACCTTTGATGGGGATGGGGATGGCAGATTGTCCTCTATTTAACTGGCTACTATTTTTACCGCCAATGAATCACACACCAGGGGCTTTCCATAAAACTGGATGATTGACTATCGTAACTGGTGAGAATCTAAGAATGTGGAAAGTAAGGACCTTCAAGACATCTTGTACAAAAGCTGGGTCTGAAGGCCAGGTTTCCCGACTCCAAGTCTCACTCTTGTTCCACTCCAATACAGTTCTTTGCTACCAACGCCTATTTAAACCTGGTATGAGTTCAGTTGAAATTCAAGAGCACATTGCACATCCTCTGAAGAGTCTTGGTTGACAGAGGAACCCAGGGGGTTAAACAGGACGTGTCATTGGTTGTATGAACAGAAACTTCATGACCAGAACTTTACAAGAAAGGGGAGCGTACATCCATATTCCTTCATTTCTGCTCCCCTATTTGTTGTTAAGAATCCACTTTCTCATGGGAACCTAAAGCCTGGAGCGTAAAGCTGTCACTGGCACCATGTTGATCTGTTACCATGGAGATCACTCTGGTAACATAAAACCCTGCTACCAGTCCAGACACACAAGTATCTCATTCTGACTCCCAGAGGGATTGCTCTGCACCCTACTCCCACCAGTTTAAAGTTCGTCTCTGCTAGGATTGACCTCTAAAGTGTTTGGAGATTGACTTTGAAATGTCATTAAAAATCTAAACACTCATTGACAAGGAAGGAGGTAAGGAAGCGGTATCTCAAGATTTTAGAGCCACGAAGTTCACATGTAGCGACTGCTCCCTATGTTACAGTTAGGGACTCTGTTACTACCTTATTTGACAAAGAACCAAAAGTAAAATGTGGAAGGGGACACCTTTGGGACCACTACTACTTGCTACTTATTCATCACCTGCAATACACCGTTTACACAGTATCCAGCTCATTACTCAAATTGTGAAGTGTGAAAGCATTAGTTGGGGTCGATCCCTACAAAGCCTTGCCACATTTTCAGAAACTAGAGTTCCTATAGGTGGCGGGTCAAATCAGTCTCTAACGGCAGAGACAAACAGACTTGATGTCGCTCATCAGTTAAAGCACGTCAGTGTCACTCTGGGTCTCGTGCAAATCTGCTGGACCATCCAGGGGGTGCAGAGAAGTCGAAAAGGCTGTCTTTCTCCAGGGTGAAAGAGAGCTACATTTCTTTGTGAAACGGCAGTGTCGGTCTAGAGGAAGGTCTATTTTAGTTTCCCCTAAATCTTAAGATTATTAGGAGGGCAGGTGGAGGGTGGAGGGGTCTTGGTCTATCATTAGGTTGACAGTGGTGAGGCATGGCTTTCCCCACTAGGGATTCCTGGGCGTCATGCAAGGAAGGCCAGCACTAGGATGTTTGTATTCAGAAGCCTCAGGCTTCAGGCTGGGCCAGGATCACACGGAGACCTAGAGTTGTCCTGTAAGCGGGCAGAGGCTACCCCAGCATCCAACAAGGAGGATGCGAACAAAGGAGGCGGAGCTTCCCTTCTCTGCACGCCCAGAGCATAAGCTGGGCCACTGCCTCCATCACCTGTAGTCTCCACGGTACAGTGCACAGGAAGCCGCTGTCAACCCCCAACATCCAAGGCCTGGGGGCAGGGGGGAGGGCCTTAGGGATCTCACGGCTCAGTGGGTTTTGCTCTTTTCCCCACATCTGCTTCCTTACGTGTAGTAGACCGTCCTCACCTGGGTCTGAGGAGCAGCGAGTATCAGGAAGGGGACAGAACTCAAGCCTACTCGTGGCCACTTCTCTTCTCAAAACTTTGAGCGGAAAGGATGTTGGATTTCATCTACCTGTCAGTCACCTGGCCCCTTCGGCATCTCTTCAGTTCCTGCAGCTCCTCTGCTAATAGGATCTTCCTCCTCACATACTCCTGCCTCGCAAAGCTGCCTGTGAGCGCCAGGGAAGAGGAACGGCCAGGGCGTCGCAGGCCGGCGGTGCCGCGAGCGCCCGCGTCTTCCTCCAATCCTCCCCTCGCCGCTTCTCACTTCCAAACAAAGCGAGCGATGAGGCCACCTCTTCCACGTCTCCCCCACTTCCTCACCAGAGGAGAGCAAGGGCATGTGACAGTGTAGAGGTGGTCACAGCATTTCAACTTTCGGGTCTCCCGCTTCAAGCCCAAATGGGGAATATACTGAGTAACGAAGAAAAAGAATTTGTTTCGGAAGACCCCACCGGCTGCCGGAGGCCAATGAAAGACTGAAATCAGAGATTACCTTTCTCTTCGCAGGAGTGATGACCCCATTTCTCCCCTCACTATGAACTCAAAACAACACCCACCTAGTGTTTTCGCTACATACGCCAGAGAATAACTCCGTACTTTGAGTCTAATTAGGTGCAATCAAAATCCTCCCCCCCCCTTTTTTTTTTTGCCCTCAGATTTTCTCCTGGATGATACCTGTGTTTTAAACAGAAGTGGATTTAAAACATATTTTAGACTTCATTGAAAAATAATTTTCTAAATTTTTTTTTTAATGTTTATTTATTTTGGGGACAGAGAGAGACAGAGCATGAATGGGGGAGGGGCAGAGAGAGAGGGACACACAGAATCCGAAGCAGGCTCCAGGCTCTGAGCCATCAGCCCAGAGCCCGACGCGGGGCCCGAACTCACGGACCGCGAGATCGTGACCTGAGCTGAAGTCGGACGCTTAACCGACTGAGCCACCCAGGCGCCCTGAAAAATAATTTTCAATGGAAAAAAAAATCCATCTTCTTTGGGGGGAGAAAAATGAAGTGAAGAGGAGAAGTTCCTGAGCTGTTTACACGACAGTCCAAGAAATGAAAAGTAATAAAGCTCTGGACTTAAACAAGAGGACATACCCTGGAAGTTTACTTGCACAGAGGAAAGTTAAGAAAACCGAACAGAAATCAAGAAAAACAACAACGACGACACATACTTTCTGTGGAGATGTAAAACATATCCTTGTGAGTGTTTTAGATATTTATCTCTTGCAATTACTGTTCTACTGGGCACAGTGGACTCTCAGTAAACACTGGTTTTGTTGAATGACTATCCAAATTTCTGCTTTCTAAGACCGAGCCCCTACCTTGTGCCTCTTTGTTTCCCTAGCACTGAGCACGGTGGTTCTTCAATCAATGCCTGTCGAGTAGAACAAGATTTGAATCCTCTTCACCACGAGCCCGGGGAAGCCACAAACAGCGCTTGCAAGGAATTTCACAAGGAGAAGGATCCAGTCTGGCACCAGGCACTTTCCTTACCTGTCTGAAAAACGGAGAGCAGATTTCTGTCCTGATGCATAAGGTGTGGCCAGAGCTGGCCAGAACGGGCTCTCTTCCAGACAGAGGTGAGAGGCAGGGTTATGTTTGCTCAGTTTATTACCCAGGTGTGTTATTTTCCACAGGCTTCTCTGCCGTTACAAGAGTCGGCCACGACAAGACTATGAGGTTAGTGCTGTTTCCTTTCAGGGGCCTGAGACAGGTGTGACTTACTTCTAAGCACTGAGGTCAATTTAAAACAACTGACTACACAGAGGAGACGCAATGAAGGGGTAAGGAACGGAGGTGCTGGAACAGACAGAGCTGCGTTCGTATTCTGCCTCAACCACCAACCAGTTCTGTGGCCATGAGCAAATTACTTAACATTTCAAAGCCCTAGTTTCTGTATCTGTAAAGATAACATCGCCTACCTCTCAGACTTGTTGGGAGAAAAAAAATTAATGAGACAATTTATTAGAACACCGGAACACACACCCAATAAATGACAGCTCTTTTTACGCAACGCTTGGCTTGTCACCATTTTGCAACTGTGATTTTATACGTGGCATCTAATTTTTCCAGTGCCTCAGTTTTCTCAAATCGAAACGGGTGCTGGGAAAACACGCTTTGAGGCAAAGTCAGTAAGAGACCTTTACTCATACAAACTGAAATGAGAAGGAGAATAATGTGGCGGGCCTAAAAATGACATACCCGCTCATGCTAAAACCTGATGTCAGGACCAGTCAACACGGTGGCCTCTATCCTAGAAGCCTATTTGGGCAAGGGATGTCCATCATGGGGATGGCTTCGATGAACAGCCATTTGGAAACACGCTGGGGATCCCCTGGCGCAGTTGAGAGAAGGTAAACCAAAATCCTGAGACAAGTTATCTTAGGGAAAGCGCCATATTCAACCCACGAGCCTACTTATTTTTGAGTCAGCATTCACTCAGAAACACCCCAAACCGAATTGTTATAGCTGACCTATCTAGCAAGCACTCATTTTTTCCTGTGTATATCAGATCTACTAATAAAAAATTACGATGCAAGTTTCTTCATCAGACAGGCTGTTATACAGTGAATAGTTCTTCCTTGCGCTTTAGAATAAATCCTATAAGCAACGGCAAAAGGCAGAGACCTCTTAAAATCGATTACACAACGTCAGAATTGGACAGAACTTATTAAAGGCATAGAGTCTATTTCCCCCAATTTTAAAAACAAACAACGGAGACTCATCAAGGTTACATAGTTCGCCCCGAGCCACAGAGCTACTGAGTGACAGCCAGGGTTGAACCTTGGCCTCCTGACCCCAAGTCCAAGATTCTTCCTGCGGCTGCTTTAAACTTCGTACTTTGTCTGTTTCTCCCCACAGAGCCCAAGCATGCTGCACTCACAGAAAAATCTCTAATAAATACTTGCCAAATTGACCTACAAATTCTCCAAGTTTGCTCTTTCAACCCAATCCTGCATTTCAATCCCAAAAGGTCCCAACCATGGCTAAGTAGCAGGTGCCATTTGGAAAAGTCTTTGGAGGAGTTTACAAAGTGTTTTTGAAATCCCATTCTCATTTCCTCACAACAGTGTAGAAAAGGTTCTGCTGTACCCATTTCAGAGATAAGGAAACTGAGGCCAGAAGTGTAATGACTCGTCCAAGGTCTATACTGCTGGTCGCACACGGCTGGAGCTGGCATTTGAACTCAGACATCTGCTTCCAAAACCTGCACCGCTTCCCTTCATTGGCCTAAGACTAATGAATTCTGACCCGCAAACGATGCTGCCATCATTCTTCCTCCTGGTCTTTTCCACTGAAAAAAAGAGAGGTACTCCATAAGGCGTCTTCGCGTCAACTTAAAACACGTGGGCTGACCGAACCGTAGAAGATTGTTATGTTCAGGTACGAACATCCTCTGCCCCACCCGGACCCTTATTCCCTTCCACAAAGCAAAGACCTCAGACCCCAGCTCCCGAGACCAGAACAGCACTGACACGTACTGCGTACGAGGTTTTAAAGGCCAGCCCGAGGGAGATGGCTACATTTTGTCCTTACCCCGTCGCTAAAGCCATCTTCAATCATGGTTTGTGTCAGAGGGGGAAGGAAAGAGGTCGCTTCTGGGAGTCTTAGCAGCACGGGGGCTGTGACGTGACCTACGAGGCCTCCATGTAGGTCAGGGATGGGCGAAGCCACCGAGCGAGGCGGCCAGAGATGCTCCAAGCCTCCTTGCCGGCTGCTCCCGGGAGCGGTTAAAGATAGAGACGGCGGCAGCTAATGGCGGGGGTGGGAGGAAGGGAGAGGAACAGGGGCTGTGAAGGAAGGTGCGGGGGGGACGGATATAATCCAGCATACAGAAACCTGTCAGGATGGGATTTATTTTTGTTCTGTGAGGGAGTATAATAGGGCTTTGCCTGTACTCTCAATAGCTGTTTTGAAGTGAACCCGGCTGGTATGTCTTTAATTTGTCATTTCATTATGAAACTGTTTCCCTTCCAAGAAGCCTTCAAGTCAGGAAGCTCTGTCTGCCCACACAGGAAATTCCTTTGCTTCAACTTCCCCAAAAAGGAAATTTCCCTCAGAAGTGAGCCCAGCATATGCCTTTGAGCAGAGCTGTTTCAAGAAACTTTGGC